TTTATCTGAATGTGTGTATTTATTTGTCCATCAAATAATGGTTATGGAAGAAGAGAAAACAAGACCTGATTTAAGGCAAAGAATTAGCTTTAAACTGCAAGCATGGAGGTACTAAAGCTATTTCACTCATGAAAATCTATTTTTCTTTCTTAAATCTAAAGAACGGTGTCTTTTTTACCTATTTGTAGCAAACATTAAACAAATTGTGTGTATGTGTCAAAAATGCTTCCTCCGATATTTTTATTTGTCGAAAAGAAAACCTGTACGCCAATTTTGGAAAAAAAAGATACTAATAATGTATTTATTGTCCCCTTAGGGCTCCTTGAAAAATGGCTAATAGGAAGAAAATCAGAGATGTGGATACTTGCTGCTGCTATTCTTAATATGATTACAGGTATTCCTCGACTTACAACTGTAATGGAATCTGTCCAATTTTATGGCTTTTTTGGTGGTCAGCATGGCTGTAAAGTGAATCCAGTCATTAAATGTCATACTTATTAAGCAAACCCATTGTTCACTGTGGGGCATTTTTGACAAAAACCAGAAGCAAATATCGGTTTTCAGCAAAAACTATAAATTACAGTCATGTGATCATGGGATCCTGCAAATGGCTGTAAATGCAGGCCGATTGCTAAGCCCATGAAATACAGTCATGTGACCATGGGAGTGTAGGAACTTTGGACCTGGGTGGTACCTTTGGGGGGGGGTGCATCATAATTTTAAACAGTCACTAAGTGACAATTCATAAATGGAAAATAACCTGTATGCTTTGTCACTATAACCCAGCCAGCAACACAGCCAACAAAGTTTCACGTACATTCTTGCCAATTCCATTCAATAGGAATACTTCATAATCCGTTTCACTCAAAACTGTCAAGCTAGAAGTAGAGCTGAACCTGAATTTCTGGCTTCCTGGGATAGTCAATTGCTTTTAGCTAAAGCACATTATTTCAAAAGTCAAAGGCATTATTTATTGGTACTCCCCCCCCCCCAAATATACTTCAGTACAATTCTGTGTTTGTAAACATGTAAATCACATGCAAAAAAATGTATTTCAAATATGCCAGAAGAAAATTCCATTCTGTGAGATAATTACCTACAGAAAAATTCATATACATCAGGGATGTCAAACTGCCCGCCCACAGGCCGGTTGCATCATAAGGAGGACACACCCAACCCAGCTCCGGCAATGCAAAAGTAGTCATGATATGTCGTGACATGGTGACATGGTGAATTTGACACCCAATATACAGCATTGCAATGAAGAAAGCCTTATTTACATATATATTTCAATACGCACATAAATGCAATATTTATAATTAAATATACATTGGTGTTCCAAGTTCATTAAAGTCAATAGTATAAAATCCTTAATTTAGTATATTAACTTTAATTAAATTTAATCTTTACAGAAGCACGACTATTATGTAATACATTTACTTGATATCAGCTTCTGTACTGTTTGTTGGTTTACATGTAGACACATGATAACTATAATCCTAAAAATTATGCGAACTACTTTGGGACTTGTTTAGAAAAAAAAAATTTTTGTATTAAGCCTATTGTGCACACATGCTCAAGCTTTTCTGAACAAGTAGGTTTTTGTCTCTTTAATAAAAGCTACAATTCTTACATCATCATACAGAGCTGTAATAGTTTTTCTTAAGTGTGTGTGTGTGTGTGTGTGTGTGTGTGTGTGTATAAAAGATATGCAAATAATGTGTTGTTACCCAGTCTTGTATTCAATGCAGCAGCATGGGAAGTAGAAGGCACACCATGGACCAGCAATTCAAGCTATTAAGTTTACTTCTTATTTTATTAAACTCAAATTGATGTACAATATATACATTATCTGCCCATCTAGCAATCTAATGTTTAACTATAAGATTTGGTATTTATTCCATTTTTATTAATTCTAACTAATGTGTCTTTTGCTATTATGCTTTGATTAATATTTTATTTTCATTTATTATAATGTAATCATAATATAATCAGCATAATCATTACATTGCAATTCCTGTATTCAATTTTATTATATTGTAACTTTCACTTATTATAGTTTAATCATTATGAAAAGAATGAATTATCTTATAGCATAGTTTTAGTGTTTTTCTGTGATTTCACCAATTTATTTGTGTGAGTACATAATAAATTCATTTTTCTTGATCAGTTTTGATCCAATAGTTACCCTCCGTCAGAAGAATCCAAAATAAAAGGATTAAAGTTTTCAGTTATACAAACAGCATATATCAGGGAAGAAACTGATCATTTATTAAATAGTCTATCAAGTTTTCTTCCTTGTTAAGGAGGGTAAAAACAACAAAATGTAATTTTTTATTATGGTTTGCTTCATATATTGTGCTATACAGTAGCTGGGATTTTCAAACTTTTAGGTTATAGAATCTCCTGGAACACCTCAAAAGGCAAAAGCTCTAGTAATAGAAAATCGGCTGTATTCAAGTTAACTGGGGGAGGGGCACTTTAATCTATCACCTAATTTTCATAAAACCATAGGCTGAAACACTATGAAAACTCTTGCTATAATGTAAGATTGTTGGATTCAGGCTCAGTATGCCATGTGAATTCAATCTCAAAATCCATTTAAGGTCATGTAAGACACATTAAACCATGTCTTCAGGCTTTATGCCAAATTGCACTAAGACAAGAATCATTATAAACTATACATGACTGTATCTTTTTCTGTAAGGAGAAATTCCAGGTGGCAGCTATGGCTGGGGAGGGAGGTGCTTTGTACAATTTCATATACCAAGAGCATATACCAATTATGCTCTTGCTAAAAACCCTGCTTACAATCATTTGAGCCCATTTTATGGAATGACCATCCTCCTGATGCACAATTGGCCCTGACACAGCTGGTCTTTAAAAACACTGCCAAAATCTGGCACTTTTCCTAGACATTTGAGCCACAAACTTTTAAAGCCCCGATTGGTTTGCGGTAATATTGCTGCTTAAATCAACATTTTGTGTTGTTTGTTGGTGTATGTATTGGAGTTCTGTTGATAGGCATTGGTGTGGTTTTTTTTTTATTATTATTATAAGTTGCCCAGAGTCACTTTGGTTGATTTAGGCAGGCCCATAAATGTTTTAAATAAATACCATAATTTTTATTTCAGATTGGTCTAGAACAGGAGTGTCAAACTGCCAGCCCGTGGGCCGGTTGCATCATGCAGAGGCCACACCCACCCTAGCTCTGGCAATGAGAAAAAGGCCACGATACGTCAAGACACATCACGTGACATGGCGAGTTTGACACCCATAGTCTAGAACACTCTGGGTTGAGCCCTTCAGCTACACTGCCTCAGAACTGACATGCAAATTTCCCCTCCCCATCATTTCAATGCAGAGAAACATTAAAAGAGTAACATCTGCCAAGCAACAAAGTATGATAAATTCGCAGCCCACTTCCTTCCTTATGGCCCAGTGTGAACTAGCTAAGCTCTGCAACTAGTAAATACAGGTAGTCATTGACTTACAACCACAATTGAGCCCAAAATTACTGTTGCTGAGACATTTGTTAAGTGAGCTTTGCCCTATTTTACAGCCTGTCTTGCCACAGTTGTTAAGTGAATCACCATAGCTGAAAAGTTAGTAACCCAGTTGTTAAGTGAATCTGGCTCCATTAATTTTGCTTGTCAGAAGGTTGCAAAAGGGAATCACATGATCTTTGGACACAGCAACGGTCATAAATAGGAACCAATTGCCAAGTGACTGAATTTTGATCAGGTGTCCACAGGAATGCTGCAAAGGTCGTAACTGTGAAAAACGATCATTAAGTCACTTTTTTCAGTGCCATTGAAACTTTGAACTGTCACTAAACAAACTGTCGAGGACTACCTGTACTCTCAGGTTTTGTATTCCCTAACAGATTTCTTTTCTGCTTCAAAAGAAACACCACTTATGTAAACTACAGGCAAGAATGATTTACACCGTACAGAAAAGGCCATCTTTATCATTTGTACAAACAGAATTCATCTCAGAAAATTGAGAAGAGAACGTTTAATTATACAAAATGGGAGGCATGATGAACAACCCAAACGGAAAATGACAGCAATTGCATATATCTGAAAGGATGACTTAGTTTTTTCCCCAAAATTATTTTCTAAAACGGGAGGATCGCCTTAGATTCGCTGAGGATCGCACTGCGCTAAACCTATCAAGGCGGGAGGAGTTACGGTAGCACACTACTTCTGTGTGGGAGGGGAGAGAGGTTTTTAACCTTTCGTCAGGCGGGGGATGTCGGCGTTTCGACAAACTGGCCTTTTTAGATAGTAATCGAAGAACTCCAAGGGAAGAAGTCACAGCAGGATCAGCTGTGTTTCATGCGAAAGTTTCGAGCATTTTACAAACATAGAAGCGTACCCAAATAGGAAAGCCCATCGTATGCCTGGCACAAAAAAAAACTACCCGAGCTCTGTAATCACGTCGGCTGCTGCATTTGCTTCCAAAGGAGACTCCGGGGAAGTCTTCCTTGCCTAAGTGTGACAAGTCAGAGGCGCCGCAGAGTTCACGGCGTCCCTTAAGTGGGCGTTCGGGCAACATGGGAAAAACCCAAGGAGGCCGATAAAGCTCTCGCCACCCCAAGCAAAGTCCTTGGTAAGTTAATGCAACTTACTTCTGAACAAACAAGAACCGTAGAGCCGCAAACCCACACACACATCTCACCACGCGTCTCGCCAAGGTCCACCCGGCGCTCTCTTCCTCGCCTTCCACCGCGTGCCTTGACCGGAAAACGCAGCGCCGCCTGACAAGCCGCGTCGGCCCCCCCCCCTCCCGCACCCCGGAGATAACAATCTGGATCCCGCCGATTGGGTGAAGGGAGTCTCTCAGGCCCCAGGTGATTGGCTGAGCTGGAAAGGTCCCGGGAACTTTGCCAAGATTTCCCGGGTCGACGGGGCAGGCGGCTTTAAAACGCAGGCAGGGCGCCCACCCTTTTGGGCGGATTGCCCATCCTCGCCGTTTCCGCCTGCAGTGGCACTTACCGTGCTCTGCGTCCTTTCTTTGAAGAGCGCCGGACCTACCCTCTAGTCTACTCCTTCCACGTTCCCTTCTTGGCGACGGCCTTTCTGCTTGGCTGGGGCGCCCCTTCTCCCGCCCTGCAATTCAGGCCTGTCTACAGGGAAGGGACCAGGATCTCATCGGACAGGGAGGCCGGACGAGGAGGGCAGGCAGTTTTCATATTGAGAAAGGCGTCTGTGAGTCGAAGCTGGAACCAGATGGCCAGAGAGGCAGTGGGAAACTAGTAAGCAACCGAGGCTTCGCCTGTTGCCGCTGCTCAAAGCGCTGGGTGGGAAGACAGGAAACTTTGACTCGGGGCGACTCCGCCCCCTGGTCATTTCATTGCAAATTGCCACAACTGGATCAAAAGAGGGGAAGCGCGGCTGCATTAGGATACACGAGGCAATCTAGCCCTACAATAATACTGCATATCACCCCGCAGGTTTCTACAACTGGAAGGACGAGAGAAGCCTTTCCTTTCAAGCAATCTCTAGTAAGAACACAATCTGCATAAAGGCAGAGTCCTTGTTCTGGCTTCTTACAGAAACCCACTGTTTTATTTTAATCTTATATATAATGGAGTGTTGCCTTAACTGCCCTTAGAATTATTTAACAATAATTTCTTAAACTTGTATATCACTTGGCTGTCAGCCACTCTGAGCAGCTCCCAAAGGTCAAAAAAAAACAATAAAAGATAAGCATGATGAAGCTCTCATTCTCCCTTGCTAAAAGCCTGGGTGAAGAGGCATATCTTAACAGCTCCTAGTCTAGAGAAGGGGAGGGGGGGAGAGATCTGGGTCTTTGGAAGGGGGAACTGTCATTCCATTGGGCAGGCACTGCTATAGAGAAGGCATACTTCCAGAATCCTGATAGATGAAATATTCAAGGCAAACTTGAATCTTGGCTACCTTAGTTTGGAATGACTATTTCTGAAGAGAAAGGATATTAGTCCCTTGGAAGAGGTGTTCTGTGGATGCTTAAGCTGTTAAGGTGCCATAACCAATTCAGAGCAGAGCCACCAATTAAATAAAAAATTGAGAAGGTTTTCAGAATCAAAGTGGAGGGTATTGTCAAAATTCATCCCTACGTTGCGTGGGCAAGCCCACAGCAGGATTCAGCAAATGGAGAGAATGGACTTGATGAATAGTTAAGCCACAATTGCTTTCCATGTTATGTAAACCATTGGGTGGTTTGTTTGGTTTTGGTTTAATAGTGTTATGTTAAACCCATCAGTTGTAGCTTAATTCTACATGTGAATCAGGCCTCGGTTTTCCAAACATCCTCTGACAGATTTTAAATATTAGCCTTCCCCAACTTTCTTCTGTCATTGAGGGTGGGGTGACTGGAAAGACAAGGTCATGAGCCACCCATCTGATAGATACCACATTGATGATGGCTTGCATTTGTGCTGGGTAAAATTGGTGCTCCCAGATTTTTCAGCATTGCTTCAGAAGTAACGCATCACTTGTCTGAAAACAACAGTATCACATAATGATTTATCTATACCATTGATAAATCCAGAAGTGAATTAAAGTTAAAATATGAGAAAATCAATTTAATGGGATAGTGTAAAAGATGATCACAGAGAAGTTTGTTTCTCTAATCTCATAATGTTATAAATGTTGTAATTCCTCTATTAACAATATAAAAATTAAGCAAGTGGATTTGGATTTATATTCCTTTTGCTATTTATTTGCTTTATTATTGTAGCTGAAGCATGCAGCCTTGAAAGGGTTGAATGCAAAATTATTGTACAGGCTTATCTTCATGTCTTACCAGTTGTGGCATAAAAACATGTTACTAACCATTTTAATGATGTGTCCTCATCTTATCCCAGTCTGCTCCTAAGGCAGCCTAGAGTCATCTATAATTACTTGCTGTTAAAGTTCTTCTCTTTTTTCATCACAAATCTTGCCATACAGACTGCTATATTTTGGTGATGATGAGAACAAGAGATGACAACAACTTAGATCCTAGTGGCTGCTTCTGTTATAGGCATGCTTCAGTCACCAAATAATGCTCTCAATTACCATTTTGGCTTTGAATGAGAAAGAAATCAGACAAGTCTGTTTCTTTGGAGGAATGTGGGATGGATATAATACATGCAGGTCTTTCTGGAGATCAATATTCCCTCATCTACCCCTCTCCCCAAAATGGGCTTTGAACTTAATAAATTGGTAGTCAGAGAGGGGTGCATGATGAACCTGGAATGAGTTCACATACAAATGAAGGTCTCCACCTTCTATTACTTAGGCTCACATCTCTGGGAGTGTAGAAGATTAGAAAGGTGAGACTGGAGTTCTTCCCCCCCCCCCATCCTCCCCACCTCCCCAAGCTTCAGTTGGCAGGCCTTGGAGAAAGCTTATAAGGAGATGTCAGGCAGCTTGTGCTCCCCACCACCATTCTTCTGTGAGGGAGCAGAAGGACACAGCTGCTTCCCAGTATACATACTGTATTTACATAATGTTGAGGCCACCAACTGCAATCAATTCTGAATGGCTTATACTTTAAATGCAGGAATATTTTTTTTTAAAAAAAATAAGGAACAAATTATAGACATCAAAAAGAGAAAACTGAATAAAAACTACCTATAGGGGCTCAACAGCACCCTACTGCAAACCTGGGAGAACAATCAAGATTTCAAAGGTTTTCAGAACATAATCAGTGTGATTCTTCTCCTGAAATAGGAAATTAATAGTCCTTTAAAAAGTAAAAAAGAAAGGAAATGGTTTCTGACTGACACACAGACATAATCACTGCATCTTCCCTTTCTCCAGGTTTTCTGCCCTCCTAATTTCAGTGTGGTTAGGAATGGAAATTAGATCTTTCTTCATCAGCCAACTTGAATGAGAGGAACTGAGGGGCAGATAAACAATTAAATTTGGTCATCTTAAGGAAAAGGAAGAAGTGGCACTGCCTTTTGTTCTCCCACCCATCTTACAGTGGGCAGTGACAGGTGAAATAATCATAAATCCCAAGGTGAGGTGGCAATTCTCTCTTATTTGCAGAGATTTAGAACAAGGATTCAGCCCCCAGAACCAAATTCCCTTATGAGGTGGGAAGGCATAACAAAGAGTTTCAGCTTGTAAATAAACTTGTTTATCTCCCCATGTGGAGGTCAGAATATCCCTTCCAAAGGTTTCTTAGAAAACATCAAACTCTGTTGATGGCCCAGGTAGTCTAAACACTTGACTATCTCTTGCTTTCCCTCATTTCTAACATGCAGCTATTGAGTTATCATTTATCAACCAATCTGATGATTCTGAAATCAGTAAACATTAGCAGACATAAATGAAAGCCATGTTTAGGGTGCATAACAGAATAAGGAAGTACAATGTCAGGTAAGTTGCACAAAACAAAATACTGTAGTGGCAGAGAGAGGAGTAAGTATTGAGAAACACGGGATATATTACAATTATTAACAAGGTTTCTTTGTTGAAATTTCAATCTTACACAATTCCCAGAAAAATAAGCCAGTTAGAAATAACTATGAGCAGGGACAATTGAGTTCTTTTCCTAAATCAGCTGCTATTTGTACCTAATAAGGTAAGCAGGAAAGTGATGCATCTGATCACTTTTTGATAAAAGTACTTACTTTTCTGCCACTTTTTTCTTCAAAGAGAACATCCCTTTAGCAACAGATCAATAAAACTTCAAAGCATGCTTACTGTTGCAAAACAGGTTGTATTACCTATAAATTGGGATCAGGAGGGGGAAAAAATCTATTCCAGTGATGGGAAAAGGAGACGGGACTGATAAACAACTTCCATTAAATAACTAAGCTCTGTAGCTTTTATCTCTGAAATGCATAGCTTCAGTTTTAGCTATTTGACAGAGGGAAAGCAAGAAGATCAAAATGCTTTCAAAGACTGCTTGAATAATCAGCAGAGAATCCCTAGTTTTAAAAGTATGCTAAAGAATATATGAACTGAAGATTGCTCACCCATCATTTTGTATTGATTCCTAGCCTTTCGATTCTGTGAATGACAAATCTTGTATTTAGCAGAGATTATGTTGTTGTTATCAGCTTTGCACATGAATCTTGGTTTCCAGGTCTTGAAGCACAACTGATTGTGTCTCACCTTCCATTGAAGTAAAACGAGAAACCACCTACGCAATATTGAATGCTGCTGTGGGAAGCATCATACATAGATAGGGCAATGCGTATTAAAAAATGAAATACAGTGCTGTAGATACTCCTTAATTTAGAAAAATAATCCTAGAAACAACTTTCATCTTACCATTTTTTTAAAAATGATAATGGTGAAAAGGATTATAGTTACTATTATAATAGTAAAAGAATATGGCAATGCAATTGACTAAAAACTAATCATATTCATTAAGGCATATTCCAAGTAAATAGGTATAGGACTACACTCTAAACAATGAGAAAAGAAACAAAACAAGATACAATAAAGTACACTATGTATATGAGCAGTATATTATATAAATCACAATGGCTTAATGACATAGCATTCTAAGGCAAAATCAAACACATTTGGGGGTCACATAATAGGTGAATATTTTGATAAGGAGTTCTAGTCTTGCTGTAGGCAGTCACTTTCTCTCAAACCACCCCACCCCACACAGTTGTTGTTGTGGGAAAATAGGAGGACAAAGGAGTATTAATATGGTCACCGCCTTATTTATAAAAGTAATAAAAGTGAAATAAAAATCTAATAAATAAATGAATATTTTTGTTTTAAAAAGTTTGCTGCCTATTGTAAGGATGCTGGGGCAAAACTGATTTGAGGGCCTTCCTGAATACAAAAACGATGCTTGTGTCCCACTAAAACAGTGGTTCTCAACCCTTCTAATGCCGTGACCCCATAATACAGTTCCGCATGTTGTGGTGACCCCCAAGTGGGTGTGGCCACCAATAAGAGGGAGTAGGACAACTAGGGAAAAGGGGAAAAAAATGGCGGACTGCGTTGTTTGGCGACCCCCGTGAAATGGTCATTCGACCTCAAATGGGGTCCCGACCCACAGGTTGAGAACCACTGCACTAAAAAGATCTGTCTTATAATCCAACTCCATGTAATATTTTTTGGGGGAGGGAGAGAATTCAAAGCAGGCCTTCCTTTGGTAGTTGAACCAAAGGAATAGAATCATGCTAAGCAAACCAGCCCGACACAGCCTGGGTTACGCTTATAGGAGCTTCATATTATTACTATAATGGTGCCTGCATAGCATTGCCTTTTGAGGATACTAACAAACAGTTGATTCAAAAGGCGGTTGCCTGCTTGTTGACAAGTTAGAAGACAGATTAGAAATGATTTAGCATGAGAATGCTAAATTAGAAACACTGTTACTAGCCAATAGGTTTCAGATTTAATGTGCTGGTAACATTATATAAAATCATCTATGGTCCATGTCTTGCTGCCTACAGGACCATTTGCTCAGTCTAGATTGGTATACTTCTGATTGCCTCCCTGCGAGATGTTAATTATATTCCAGCTGTATGGAACACTTTTCTTGCCAGTCAGAATGGCCCCTTCTCTATTATTTTTTAGAATATGGAAAATAACACCATTCTATTAGATTTTAGGATACACAGTTAATCCTCAATTTACAACCGTAATTGTCCCCTTAATTGAAATCATAAAGCAGATCATGATGTGATTGATCAATTTTATGGCCTTTTTTGTGGTGGAACACCCAGGTCATTAAGAGAACCGTTGTCTATATTGCATTTTTTCTCCCCAGAAACCAGAAGTAAGTGGCAATTTCTGGAAGAAATAAATCGTGGACATGTGCTGCAAAAGGCTGCAAATGCAGGCTGGTTACCAAAATGCTGTCACATTACCGCAAGGGGAAGGTGGATGCTGGAACTTCAAATGGAATTAATTGTAAGTCCATTTTGGAGTGTCTGTTGTATCTTCAAATGGTTGTCAACTGACTGGTCTTAAGTCGAGGACCACCTAGTTGTTAAAGCTGATAACTGCTGGTTTTTTATGTATCATTTACTAGAGTAGGATAAATTTTCACCACAATGAAAAATGAAAAAAATAAAACTTTTAAATCTAGGGTAATATGTCTATTCTTTGGTATACGCAGTTTTTATTTGGATATGATATGCTACTGGTAAACTTGGAGTTTGATTTTATTTCTAGTTGAGGGAAATCACTGAATTCTTTTAGAATTTCATAAGAATAAAAATTAGGAACTGGGACCTACTTGTAGCCTTAGATGCATCAGAAGGGAAGAAATTCTGGTCCTATTAGTAAAAAGAAGAAAAGAAAAGAAAAATCATGACATTAATAATAGTGTGTTAGCATTAAAATGTTAAAACGGATTTCTACCCTGCCTGGTTCTGTCTCTCTTCTTTCCTGTCCCTCTTTTCCTATTCCATATGCTGGTTTTTACTGCTACAAGCAAATAGCAATTACTATGCAATTGTTAAGAGAACTGCAGACATTCTGTCCAAGTGTGATCTTTACAATCTAAGAAAAAAAGCTAAATGACCCACGTGACAGTACTGAATAGTCGGCTTCAATTTTATATCCTTGATAATATGGTTTTATGATACTTGGAACAAATCCTTATTTGCAATAGGTTTTAGTTTATTTATTTAGCAAAATAATATAGCCACTATCCCATAAAGGGTGTTTCTGGGTGGCATACAACAATTAAATGAAAAATAATGTTTTAAAACAGGATTGTTAAAAATACAAACCACCAGGCACAGGAGAGATTATATATTAACAACGATGAAGCCATTTTACAATGTCACTTGTCCAGATGCCAAAACGTTGCTTATCAATATTTCCGTAAGCTTATTGCCTGGGTTCACAGAGCTCCTTGTGCTTGCCAAAAGTTTATTTAATGAAGGATTACTATTTTTTTAAAAAACATGTCAAACCAATTTGTTATTTGGTACAGTGCTTTGATCTCGGATTCATTATAGCTTACAATGCTTTTCTTATTCTTTTAAAAATAGCATCCCAAATATATTTATAGAAATATTGGCATGGTCTACTCATAAAAATAAACTCAAGGTTAAGTTTGGCATTCTGTGTCATAAGCAACCAAGCAGATGTGTTTAGAAAATATACAAACATGGACAGAAAATCTCCAATATCCAAACCCCACTCACAATACGGTAACAGCTGAGTCTTATTTCTTTCAAGAAATAATATTGTTCTTCTGGCAAAGAGATATTGCTGATATCTCTGACATCAAGAAATTAGGAGGGTAAGTAGCAAACTGTCAGTACCATGTCCCTCAGCATCTGTTTCTTAATTTACTTTGCGTAACAATAGGGCCCAGCTTGCAATTTTCCACTCCCTTTTCTTTTAAATGTCTCTTTCACTTGCTGTCTGTCTCCTGCTTTGAGCTTTTCCTCTGCAGTTGGGTTTATGTGGCATTATAATAGTAGTTTTTATCACTGAGTCATGTCAGACTCTTTGCAACTTCATAGGCAAGTGCTCTCCATGCTACACTGTCAGGCTCAGCTTCTTCCAGTTGTTGGATGTTCAGCTTTGTATCAGCTTTGATGTTATCAAGCCAGCATGTTCTTTGCTTGCCCCTTCTTCTTGATCCACTCACCATTTGTAGCATCATTGACTTCTCCAATGAATTTGCACGCGTGCCATGGCCAAAGTAAATCAAATGTAGCCTTGTGATTTTGGCTTCTAATGATGTTTCTACTTTTATATGATTCAGCAGCTTTCTGATGGTTACTCTGGCTATCCATGGTATATGTGACATTATACTGTCATAATATCCTATGTTTGGCTTTGGATGAGCATATTCTGTGAATTCAGCCACTTTGCTTTGTAAACCATGGTTATCATTAATGTGTATGAATGCTAATTCAACAAACCATTGTTAAATTAAAATCTGACTTTTATGTGAATTGGTATTATGTTCCATTTCTTATTCATTTTGACTTTTGGACTTTGAGACATCAAGTTGCCTAACACAACCATGCCCTCATCGTTTCTATTTAATATCTATCCTTCATCAGTCTTAATCAGGGCAAATCCATTCATCTATTGCAGCCTTGCTTATAAATGAGGTGACATTTTATTATGAATTTTGAACTCATATTTTTGAATTTATATTCTTAGTAAATTGTGACATGACCTAGCTTTGCATTCAATAAATAAATACTATTGGAATATTCATGAGCAGGAAGAGTCATGTGGTAACTCAGTCAGCCAATATGAAGAAAGTGCTACTGAGTCTGTGCAAAAGGGTATTAAGTTAGGAGCTGGATTTCCAGTCTCAGGTTTGTCTCTGTAAGAAGTCTTCAACTGAGCTATGTTGCTGTAAAGAAGAATGTATGGTATTGTAAATATTTTGATATAAATATAAAGAAGTTATTTTGAATCAACTAAATGCAGTCAGCTGTGAGAGCTTCTGATTTATTTTTCACCAACAGAGAAATTAAAATTCTCTAGCAGGTTATGGGCCCAGAGCTTACTAAGGACTGCATTGTAATTTAAAGCTGGAAGAAATTGCCTGTGTTTAGAAAGTATAAGAACAAGGCAGAATTAGCAGAATGGCTGCAATGGAATTTAAGGAAAGCTCTGTGCCACATTTGGGCTAGAAAAATTACATTGTGCGGGCTGCAAAAATGGAATTTTTGAAAGCAAAAGAGCTGTGGTATATCATAGAAAATCCACCACAAGTGTTTGAAACTGCTGATCAGAAAAGTCATGATCAAGCAATGGCTTATCTCATCTTGAATTTAGATGATGAACAATTTCTAAATGTTGCAAATTTAAACACTGCAAAGGAGATTTGGTTGAAGTTGAGAGCTGTGCACATGAATGTTTCTGCATGCAATATAGTGCAATTGTCAAGAAAACTTTACAGGCCCTGTTTGCAACCAGGTGAATCTGTGGAACAGCATTTAAAATGCAAAGTTTATTTTTGGACTTAGAACAACGTGGGATTAAATTCCCTGAGTCCCAGAAGGTTTTATTGGTGTTGAACAGTTTAGATAAAACCTGGGACACAGTTTCTGCAATATTTGAGTGTAAAGAAGAGTAAGACTTAAATTTTGAGGCTTTAAAGGCATGTTTGCTTAATGAAGAAGAAAAGCAACATTTTAGAAGCAGCTACTAGGAGGTGAAATTACTGAGGAAGGGGTCCAGACTGCAAGTCTCTGGAGAAGAAACATTTTGTAAGCAGAGAGCTCAGCTAGAAAAGAATTGCTACATTTGTGGAGCAAAGACACATCTGAAAAGGAAGGACATTTGTGCAAGCAAAAAAGACTGATTTGCAAAAGGAACATTTTGGTGTTGCAAAAGTTTGCTATAGCAACAACAGAGACAAGTGGCTAATAGATAGTGGGGCAAGTCAAACAATTATTAATGACTCTGAATTATTTTGCAGGTTTGTTCCAGTAGCACAAGAAGCTGTGGCTTTGGCAAATGGCCAGAAAGCAAAAGTTATCAGAAGAGGCAATATAAAAATTCTATATTTGGAATCAAAGTTTACCAATGTGCTTTGTGTACCTGAGATGGAACATAATTTGTTAAGTGTGTCTAATTTAGACAAACAAGGTTTTGAGATCATTTTTGTAAATGGGAAGTGTCTCATTAAAAGGAATGGGAATATTTGTGCAGAAGGCATAAAGGAAGATAATCTATATGTATTGCAGGGACAAAAGATTCAATGTTCCCATATATTTAAGAATGTTGCAGAGCATGATTCGTGTGTTCATCTTCTACATAGAAGACTTGGCCATGCAAGCTTTAAAGTTTTGCAGCAAATGCAAGAGTTTGCAGAAGGGCTAAATTTGAAGGGATGCAAAACATATTTGACTGTGCAGTATGCAAAGCATCGAAGTCAAAGGCATTCCCAGTTAGTAAATATAGCACAAGACAAACAAAAAGAGCTCTAGAGCTGGTCCATGCAGATCTGGTGGGACCTATGCAAGCCAGTTTGGGAGGAGCAAAATATGCACTGGTAATTATTGATGATTATGGCAGGTATAGTTTTTGCTACTTGCTTAAAGCAAAGACAGAGGTGCTACAACAATTCAAACAGTGGGTACGTTTTGTAGAGAGAAGGTACAGACAACAAGTGTATCAGTTGCAAACTGACAGAGGTACTGAATTTATGTCAACTAAATTCCAACAATGGTTGGGGCAGTTGGGGATAAGACACAGACATACAAATCCTTACACAGCAGCAGAGAATGGTGTAGCTGAAAGAAGGAATGGTGTTTTGTAAACAATGAAAGATTCATTATTAGAGGATTCTGGTATGAGCAGGTCATATTGGGGAGAAGCCATATTGACTGCCAATTATATAGTTAACAGGCTGTGGAGTTCCTCCATTAATAATACTCCATATGCCATTCTATATGGGAGAAAGCCATCATTGGCACATTTGAGAATTTTTGGAAGTACTGCATGGGTACATATTCCGAAGGCAATCAGAAGAAAGGGACAGCAAAAGGCAAGAAAGCTCAGGTTTGTGGGCTATGAGCCAGGGTCAAAAGGATATCGCTTTAGCGATGGAAGTAAAAGAATTGTAATTTCAAGGTCTGCTAATTTTGCAGAACAAAATTGGGACAGAATTAATGCAAATGCTGGGTATGTCTCACTTAATGACAGTGATCTATTTAACGACAATAACTCATCTAATGACAAAAAAATGATTATTGAAGATGTCAATATTCAGGGAGGAGAGGCTGAACAAGACATGAAGCCAGATAGACTTGAGACACAGGAGCAGTTAATACCACATAGGTCAGAGCGATGTAATAAAGGAATTCCGCCTGACAGGTATTCTGCCAGCAAGGTAAAGGTTTGCAATGTGTGGTATGAGCCAAGAAGTTATAAAGAGGTGTTGGCATTACCAAAAGCTGAACAAGAAAGATGGAAGGAGG